CCCTCAAACCGCTTCAGAAATCAAGAAGAAGCCAAGGTATCCCTATTGCCATTTTTCTTTACTATGGTCTAGCTATAGGAGGAGGAGCCTATCGCGTTCAGGCCAAAATTTACAGTTTGCGGGCTGTCCATGCCGATTTGCCTTAGTCTCGCTTTGTTCGAATTCCTAATGAGGAAAAGTCGCTGTGGGAGCCCGTTCAAATTTTCTCGTGGCTTCGTGTTCATAACACTCTCGTTGGAAGTATTAGTGCCACGGATGAACGCATTGCTAAATTGTCTCACGACCTGGTGGCTTTGTCTGCATATTAGTCTTCCACCACAGTCCATGTTCTACGCGTCCCGTGTGTAGCTGGCCAAAGTATTTCCCTCTCGAGTTGCGTGGGATCCGTCGCGTGTATCATGGCCCGATTTCTTTTCTCAGTTGTTTACTCAGTTGTTTCCTGGGATAGGATTAAATTAACTGCAAAAACCGTGGACGTAGATCCTGCTAGTTGTAAACGTTGGATCTCTAGAAAAGAGATCAAATCAGCCAAAATATAAAGAACAAGAACGAGAAGTCCGAAGACTACAGCAAAGCTGATTTAAAACAACGTGTATTGTTTTTTTTATAACAATATTTCGGCTGGCCATACCAGCCTTCTTCAGGTTTACAGATGTTACTGAACTTATGTAGCAATCACAATATTATATAGATGGAGAATGTAGCAATAAAAGGGAGAGGCGGAAATGACGTACAACATAAAAACTGGAAAGGAAAAATACTAAGGATATGGATTACAATAATTCATCACGGCGGTTTAGGCCATGATATTCTGGGATAGCTAGGTTTTCCTGTCCGTTGATTCTTTGTATGAAATTGAATTTTGGTCGAACAATGTTAGCCTTTCAACGGCAAAATTTATTGAGGGGTTCCAGTTCGCTTCCAGTGAGAGTAAGCTCCGGCTTCTCCGATGCTTCCTATTCAGCCTGCGGCGCTTAAGAGGAGCCGGAACCTGAACTGATTTTTCATCAGGATTGGTCGGAAAGTGTTCGTAGATCGACTTGGAGAGAACTCAAAGCGGTTTGTCTTGCCTTACTAGCCTTCGGGAGCCCTTTACATAATCAGTCTTAGGTTTTTTGGTATTCTGACAACCATAACGTCTAATCCATTCTTCGCGACGGCAGCAGGAAACGCGACCTCCTGGATTTAGCCCCAGTTGTTTTTCAAATTTGCTCCCATCATTGTATTTCGTTCGAGGTCAAGTGGATCCCTAGGGACGTGAACGCCAGTGCGGACTGTATCTGCAAACTCGTTGACTTCGATGGTTACGGCCTCAACGATTCCGTTTTTTTTCAAGGGCTAAATCACCTCTTAGGTCCTTACACTATTTACAGGTTCGCCAGTAGCTTCAACGGCGAGTTGCCTAGGCTTAACTCTCGATTTTTTCAGCCAGGCTGTTAGGCTGTTTATGCCTTCGCTCTAAATTGGAGTTAGGACGACAACTGGCTTGGCCCACAGGTTTGCCTCATTGTCAGAGTCATCAGACACATTGGGCTCTGCCGCGCTTACGGGAACCCTTGTTCCTCCCCTATGGAAGTCAGCTATTTTCTGGAATGTTTCTACTAGAGATGGAGTGCATTGGAATAGTTTTGTTGTCGACTGGGTTTTATTGCCTAAGTTCCAGGGGTTATTTGTTCCAGGGAAGGCCCGTAATTCCCTTTTCAGATCCAGGCCTTTATTTTTTGGCGTCATAGCGCTTCGAGTTTATTTTCGGCGCCCCAGACCTCCCTCGTCCCTGGCGGGCTTCTGCTCTACGCCGCCTGACGGAAAGTGTTACCTGTGCCTCTACACGCGTGTTATGCGTACCTTTAGGTTTGGACCCATTAGGTTTTTGACCCCCCCCCCCCTTCCGCCCACTCTCCTCTCACTTCCCTTTTCCGGTGTTTTAAGCTCGTTTTTTTTTATTCTTTTTTATTTCGTGCTCCTCACATTTTCTTCTTGTATTTTCGATTACTTTTCAGATATGTTCCGCTCTGGTTTATAGCGCGGGCCCCAGAATTTCCCACCAGAGGGTTGAATACTGAGGCTGACAGACAGTCTACAATGCAATCGACGGTTCTCTCCTCAAAGGCCGTTAGTACGACAGTGGTGTACCTTCGTGCTTCTCGCAAGTAAAAATGTTTTGCTGCCAGTAAGCTTCATTCCTGGGCCTGTCCTGCCAGTCCCTGCCATGTTGCCTTGTATTTGCAACACCTCATTGAAGAGTCGCACTCCCCGTGCGTCTTAGACTCGGCTGTTTACGGTAGTAAATGGGCTCATACCATGGCGGGTATCCCCTCTCCCACGGATAAACCGATTATTGAAGGGGTTAGATGTGCTTCCAAAAGGATTTTTGGTTTGATGAGGTCTCCATAATTAGGGGGAATTATATTTTCATGAGGGTTTCATGATCATTAAGGTTCTCAAAAGCAAGAACGACCAACTTTGTAAGGGCGATGAATCGGAGTGATTTTTTCGGAAATGTTTGGCCCTGCTTGTACCTTGCCCATTTTTCCATCCCTCTAGCTCCAGGGATCTCATTTTTAGGCCCATGTCTCGCGGGAACAGCTCCTTTAAGTTAGTTTCCCAGGACGAGCCTATCAGCTATACCACAATTAGAGAGGCTTTTCGCAAGGACCTGAGAAGTTTCGGGGTTGACCCTTCCACTTTTGGTTTTTTATTCCTTGCGTTCGAGAGGGGCCACTTCCGCTGCTTATAATGGGGTTAGTGACAGTGTGTTTCAGTGGCTCGGCCGCTGGAAGTCCGTTCTAGCCAAGGACGTCTACCGATGATGACCTAGAAAAAAGGCTTTCAGTTTCTTGGGCTCTAGGAGCTTTCATTTGTCATTTCGCCCAATACTTTGTCACTCTACGTACTTTGTAGGGTTGGTTCTCGCCAAGCCGTCCCAAAATAAACTTATTTGCCATTACGTTTTGTCTGTTGATGTTGTGTAGTGGAGTCAAAATATGTTATTTCTGACGAATGAGCCCGCGAAGAAGACAGAAATAAATATTTTGACGGCACGAGATACAACAGGGCCTGGGTACTAGGCCGGGTGCACCATGGGTAGCCATATCGGGGGTATATAAGGCTGCGTATATCACGTGTACGTCATCTAGGCTTACGAACCACCCTCTCTTTGGTTTTTCTTTATTTTTGTTTTATTTATTTTTAGGAGCAACATATTCTCGATGACATTGTAAAGTCCCGTAGGAAGGGCTTTGAGCTTGAGCCTTGGTTCCTACCCAGATTTCCTGCCCGCATTTTTTCCCTTCGGGGTTTTTTTGGGCAGGTTTTTTCTGGCCTCCGTCTGACCGCATTTACTTCAGTTTGTAAGCGGTAGCTCAGCTCTGCTAGTTTTCAGTTTTTTCCCGTTTCTTATTTTATGTACTTGTACAGTTATCTCAGTTTTGCACCTGCTCCTTTACTTGATATATTTAGTTTCTATGTATGTCTAGGTCAGCTGTCCCGGAACCGCTCTTTAGGAGGCGACATAAGTCTCGTTTGATGCAGTTAGGTTGCAGGCAATGTTACAGACTTCTAGCCAGGGTCGTTATCCATTTGTTTACTTTCAATGTCCTGCCCTAGCCTTTTATGGCAGCCTTACTGGTTATTGGGCTACGTGCCTTGTTGGGTACATTAGTGGAGATAATTCCCAGTTTTCCTGGCACTCAGCCTCTGTGCTCCTGAAGTGTTCCCGGTCCCAGTTATCCGTTGATCAGAGTTTTATTAAATTTCCCCAGCCTAACTGGCAGCCTAACTGGCACTAAGCCTGCGTGCTTAACTGGGTGATTCAGGTCAAGAGCGACCATTTGTAGCACGAGTTTTTTCTTTTTGTGAAAGCTAGTTTACGAGTGTTGTACATTAGGTATTCACCAGTAATCACCTATTATTGTATTTACATAAGTACTTTGTAGGGCTGGTTCTCGCCAAGCCGTCCCAAAATAAACTTATTTGCCATTACGTTTTGTCTGTTGATGTTGTGTAGTGGAGTCAAAATACACTTTTTCAATACTGTCTGACAGTGTCTCGCACTTTTGAAGCATTATCTGCCAGCAATCCGTACTTTCTCAATATCACTTGCCAGTAATCCTTACTTTTTCAGTGATTATGACTATCTGTGATGCCGTTGAACCTTGATACGGAATTTGTTAAAACTAAATTTGCTTTTTCTTGTTCTTTAATGTACTTGCCCCTATATTACCAAATGAAATTCTACTAACTCCAGCAGATGACATGTCACAGTTTTCGCCGCCAGTCACTCGCCTTCAATTAAACAATTGAAGAAACATGACGTGCCACATTTTCAGTTGCTCTATTTATGGAAAACCCAAGCTCGTTCCTGGGTTATCTCTTTCTTTCTTCCTTTGTGCCACGAAAGGAGGGTAGAGGAGCCTGGGTACGAGGTTGTAAAAAACACACTGGCGATTTCATTGATGCAACATTAGCATTATAGTTCCACATTAATATCAGTACCACTGTAACTGAAATTATTAACCTGTTAACTATTTATATATAAATGAAAGGACTGAGGGAGTATAACGCTAAAAAAACAGCTCTTTAAAAAATTAAAAGCAACCTGATGTTAAAATGTGTTCTTACGGGTTTTTTAAATGTTTCACCTTTCGCACGAAGGCATTTGTTGATCAAAGTATACACGGTATTGACAAAATAACTAATATTTTCATTTCACGTCATAAAAAATGTATAAAACAAACTTAGACTGAGGCAAAATACGCCATTTCCCTATCAGTAAGCAAAAAGTGAAATTTGTCAAGAAAAGGTGTTGTAGGTGCTTCCTATTTGACTATTTTTCAACATCTGGTCTGAAGAATATGTTCAATATAAACAGGCATGCAGAGGTCAGTTATATACAATTTATTCGACAAAGGATGTCACAGGAAAGCTATCGTAAAAGCGTACGCAGCAAAGACGAAACATGGTCTGGAAATCGTCAATGAATATGAACAAATTCTAAATGTCTCTCCTCCACATTGTTAATGGTTCCTTTTACCATTTATTTGAATCAGCTGTGTCCCAATGTAAGCGACCAAAGTACGCATAACACCAACTCAGCATGTGAAGTCTGATTAGTGTTGCGTCTTACTTGACTCAAACATGGCTGAAAAAAATGCAATCTTCGATTCAAACACCATTCATGATATAAGGATACTACAGGGGTAAATACTACAACTATCCCCCGAATGCGAGGTGAATAGTGGTGGAAATATACCGAGGGCGCGGAAACGTCGAGGTATATATCTAGCACTATGAACCGACCCATAGGGGGTAATTATTTTTAGTATTTACCAAATCAGTTGGATAAAAATCAGGGATCAAAGAGGAACTTTTTGTAAATAAAAGACATCACTTAGTGAGGTTTACGTTTCAATTGACAGTGTTTCGGGATCATTTTTTATGATTTTGTTGCAAATTCAGTAAGACAATTTTTTTCTACCGACCAGTTAACATCGACAAGCCAAATTCTGTCTCTTTATGGTATTTGTTGGCGCAGCTGCTTCAGTTACCGCTAAAATTTGATCTTTCGAAACTGTCGCGAAACGAGAAGCCATTTCGAATCCTGTCCCAAAACAGTGAATATCCAAGGATATTCCGAGTTACGACCGCCAATCAGAACGCGCGAAAATTGCTATCCACTGATTTGGTGAATACTAAAATATTTTACAGTAACTGACTTATTTTCGTGCGTTGATTGGCTAATGTTTATGATCAATAAGAGGACAGTCACTTAAATTTTTAATTTATGCAAGACGCGATCATTTGCCGAACGAATGCAAAAATTCGATGTTTTTGTTTAGGTTAGTTTGGTAGAAGATTCACTTTCTGTCTAATAAGAAAAATAGCCAGATTGCTCTTATGCAAGACTTGCATCCTGATTGGATTCTCTGCAAATAGCTCAAGCAGAGGAAACTGAACAAAAACGCGTAGTTTCCAAAGGCGGAGACGACTTGCTAGAAATTGTATTGCGTCAAAAATGCGGCAATTCAGATAAACGTTTAATATTCCTACATAGTTTTAAAGTTAAAAATAGTAACAAAACGAATTCTGATTACAGCAGTTTTCTTTTGTCAAGTACTGAGTGTTTTTCTGATTCTTTTTACCGAAAGGAAAACAAACTTTTTGTACAAACTTTGTGAAACTTTGCAAGTACCTGGTAAGTTGAATTTTTTGAAGACTACATGCGTATAAAAACTCACCTTTCGGTTTGATTTAGCCTGAGAAAACAGCTGACATTTGGCAACGCTACCATTGGTTTCCCCCCCAAAATGAAGTCTGAGAAACGAGTGCATAAATTCCATACTGATGACCCGTCCTACCCAGATCTGGATTGTGCTTGTGATTGGTTGAATCAAATTTCCCATGCGGCACTACCAATCAGAAACACTACCCAGATCAAAGTAATGACGCGTCATAAGTATGAAATTTCTGCGCTCGTTTCTCAGATGTCATTGGGCGGGGAAACCAGTGGTAGCGTCGCCAAATGCCGGCTGTTTACTGAGGTTAGTTTTGATTTTACACAGTTCATATAGCTGAATAGTGCTCAGGACGAAAAACAAGACTTAAACCGTTTTGTGAAGTACAACAGTAACACGATTTCTGTTCGTGCTATTCGGTTAGCAACTTTTCAAAACCGCCTGGCTAGTTGCTCTACAGACTGCTCAACCGTACATAGCTTTCACTTGTTCGGTTATTTTAACGGCTCTAAAATCTTTCCTTGGAATAATTTTTAACCTTTGGGCTAAGTTACGACTTTATAATACCCCAAAATGCCTCCAGTTTTCGAGACAATAAGCATCGCTGATCTTGTTCTGAAGTTTGGAAAACAATAAATTCCGAATTTATGCAGGGCAGTACGTGGCGTGACTCAACCTGTCAAATTTTTAGCTAATGAAAATCCGTTACTTCAAGTCACAAGGCCAATCACCAAGTGAAAGCTACTGCGATATGTGTGCGTATCCGAGCGGCGAAGCCGCGATCATCAATTTGTGCGGGGGCCAGTACCAGCGAAAAGAGAGACTCTCCTTACGCTCGTACAGTCGTCTGCACAACTCGCTGCTTGCGGCTTCGCAGCTCATATACATTATTTTTAATATCGCACTCGACACAGATTTTCGAGCAAAAAAGAATCTGCTCGCAGTCTCATGATAAAAACTTAATATCCTTTAAGTTTCAATGCGATTCCTCCGAGACGTCGTTTATCTGAAAGTTTGTGTTTGACCTTGACAGTTTTACCCGAAAAAAAGTGGCACAAATTGCTTTCCCTTCCAAGTTGGTTTTTTGTTTTCCCCTTAACTTTTTTCCACCCTAAGCAATTCTTTATCCTTCATAGTTCTTAAAACCACTCTTACTAGTTTTTAATATTTTTTGACGTTTCCTTCTATTTTTGGATAACTTTGTGCGTTTCAAAATAGTGACTTAAAATATCGTGACAGAGCAGTCTCCTTTAAACGCTTTTTTTTAACCTCAGCTTACAATAAGGACCTCACCTTTTTTGGCTAAGATTAAATCTCACGTCATCACCAATCAGCACGAATGGCGCCCAGTACCTCATGGCTTTGAAGTCGTCAGACTCGCGCATCCATTTCATGGCCTCATGAAGTGACTTGCTCGCACTTTTTCCATTCGCTAAATTGTCGTAAAAATGTCTCATAAACTCTAGAGTGGCCTCGTCATCAATCGCCCACAGTGACGCAATGACAGAACGGGCGCCGGCTCCCAAAAAGGCGCGTGCCATACCAACCACGCCTTCGGCTTTGATCTTCCCGCGTCCACTGTGACAGCAGCTTAAGACAACGAGCTTGGCGTTTAGTTTTGAATTCAGCGCATCTTCCATCGTTAAAACAAAATCTTCCTCTTTGGGTTGTTCGGAACAGGCTAGATTTGGAGACAAAATAATTTCACCGGTTTCTGCACAACCATGAGCTGCAATGTGAACTAAAGAAACTGAGTTAAGCTTGCATAACACTTGGTCTTTTGTGGCCTTCTTCCCGTGAAGAGGCTCGACGTTTAGTATCTTTCCAATCATTTTTACCTCTTTTTCAGCACAAGGGAGCTGCTGAATTTTTTTCCTTTGAAGCGTACATTTTCAGTCCACGGATCACCAACGAGCAGTGCACCAGATGTACTATGGCGCCCATTTGGGCACTCTGTCAGCAGGCTTAAGCTTGTTAGTGATGGCGCCAATCGAATTCTCAGCGTCTCAGACAAATACCTGGAATTTTGATCCACAAGGGCTGCATAAGGGATAAAGAATGATGAACCTTCAGGGACAATGATGAGTTCGTCCCCTTTTATCAGGTGTGAAATGGGAGCAATCACTGCGTCAAACAACTCTTTTAAAGCATCACCTTCTGATGGTAAAGATAATTTATCATCTGTATCCCCATGGGATAACTTTTCAATTGCTTCATCTTTAGCCGGGTTATCCAGGGTGCGATCCTCACATTTTACACCTATTTCAACACCAATCTGTTTGTACGCTTTGTCATTCAAGTATTTCAAGGTACAATTGATTTTCCTTCTCATAAACTGCCCCTCTTGTTCATCAAGAATTACCCACAAATTCACTGTTTCGGCGACTTCCGCGAGGAATGTCGTAGGTGATGAAATATGGCTAAAAATGTTAGTTATCCTTTCCATCTGCTCTTTTGATGTTGGTGGAGTTGATTTTATGCCGTATTGTAGTTCCATGAGATCCGTGAGAGCTTGGGCTCGTCCCTGCTCGCCGGTTAAAAGCGCCTCGATGGTCTTGCCTTGTAGTAATTGACAAGCCATAAAAAACTGTAGGAATCACGTTCGTCCCGAAAGCTGATTTTCCATTCGTCTTTCTCTTGAAGAAGAAACCGCATGTCCTCAAACAGTTTTATACTCAATTCGAAAAATTTTTCAGCCTTTGGGAAATCTTTGAGACAATAAAAAGCAACACCAAGTTTGGCGTATGCCTGTTCTTCCATATATTTATGTTCAATCTCTTTTGCAATAATAAGAGCCTCTTGATAAAATTCGATTCCTTTTTCGAAATCAGAAAGAGACTCATATGCATAGCCAAGGTTCATATATATTGTCCCTTCTGACTCTTTGCTCCCAATCTTTCTTGCAAAACTAAGAACTTGCTGGAGAAATTCGATTCCTTGATCGAAATCACCGAGTGAGCAATATGCAGTTCCAAGGTTGTGATATGCCGTTCCTTCTGAATGTTTGTTTCCAGTCTCTTCTGCGGTATTTAGAGCCTGTTGATAAAATTTAATTGCTTTTTCCATATCACCGAGAGACTGATAAGCAGTGCCAAGGTTACTATATGCTTTTCCTTTTGAATCTTTGTCTCCAATCTTCTTTGCGATACGAAGGGCTTGTTGAAGGAATCCGATTGCTTTTTCGAGGTCACCGAGGGAGAAGTATGCATTGCCAAGGTTGTTATATGCCGTTCCTTCTGAATGTTTGTTTCCAGTTTCTTTTGCGATATTAAGATCCTGTTGATGAAATGCGATTTCTGTTTTAAAATCACCGAGGGAGTTATACGCATTGCCGAGGTTGCCATATTTCTTTCCTTCTGAATCTTTGTTTCCAGTCTCTTTTGCAATACTAAGGCCCCGCTGATGATATTCGATTGCTTTATTGAATTCACCGAGCGAGTAATATACATTACCGAGGCTGCCATACGCAGTATCTTCTGAATTTTTGTTCCCAGTCTCTTTTGCGATACTAAGAGCCCGCTTATGAAACTCGATTCCTTTTTCGACATCACCGAAGTCGTAATATACATGACCAAGTTTCGAGTATGCGCTTCCTTCTAAATCTTTGTTTCCAATCTCTTTTGCTACACCAACAGCTTGCTGAGAGAATTCGATCGCTTTTCTCAAATCACCGAGGTAGTGATAGGCATTGCCAAGGAGGTAACATGCGTCTCCTTCTGAATTTTTGTTTCCAATCTCTTTTGCGATACTAAGAGCTTGCAAAAGGACTTTGATTTCTTTTTTCAACTCACCTAGAGAGTGATAAGCATTGCCAAGGAGGTTATATGTGTTAACTTCTAATTCTTTTTTTCCAATCTCTTTTGCGATACTAAGGCCTTCCTGAAGATATTCAACTGCTTTTCTGAAATCAGCGAGGGAGTGGTATGCATTGCCAAGGAGATTATACGCGTTTGCTTCTGAAGCTTTGTCTCCAATCTCTTTTGCAACACTAAGACCTTGCTGAAGAAATTCGATAGCTTTCTTAAAATCACCCAGAGAATGATAGGCATTGCCAAGGATGTTGTACGCGTTTCCTTCTGAATATCTGTTTCCAGTCTCTTTTGCGACATTAAGTCCTTGCTGAAGAAATTCAGTTGCTTTGCGGAAATCACCGAGGGAGTTGTATGCATTGCCAAGGATGATATATGCGTTTCCTTCTGAATCTTTGTTTCCAATCTCCATTGCGATACTGAGAGCTTGCTGAGAGAATTCTACGGCTTTTTTGAAATCACTGTGAGAGTAATAGACACTTCCAAGGATGTTATATGCGGTTCCTTCTGATTCTTTGTTTCCTATCTCTTTTGCGATACTAAGCGCTTGCTGAGAGAATTCCATTGCTCTTTGAAAATCACTGAGAGCGTGATATGCGTTGCCAAGGGTGATACATGCATTTCCTTCTAAATGTTTGTTTCCAATCTCTATTGCGATACTAAGAGCTTGCTGAAGGAATTCGATTGCTGTATTGAAGTCACCGAGAGAGTCATGATACGCCATGCCAAGAGTGTTATATGCAACCATTTGCAAATCTTTGTTTCCAGTTTCTTTCCCAGTACTAAGAGCTTCGAAACAAAATTCGATCGCTTTTGTTACCTCACCGAGAGAGAGATAAGAAGAAGCAAGCAGTATGTATGCTCTGCCTTCTCTATTCCTGTCCCCTGCTTCTTTAGCGTCATTCAGTACTGACTTGAAGTAATCTAGGCCTGTTTTGAAATCACCACGCATAAAAGCTCCAAGATCCAGATGAAACCAAACTTTTGTGTTAGTTCTGTCGTGTCGCCGATGTCCACCTTCTCTTTCACAGCATGTCTACAAATGGAATGTAATTAATCAAATATTGCTGTTATACTTTCTAGCGGGGGTTAAATACTATCCCTATCAAAAAGCTGCAAATAAGTATTTTAAAAGTAAATAAGCTTTTCATGTCTTTCTTCCGCTTTCCTAAAACGGCGCGGAGTCAGAAAGGTTCTTTATTTCAAATTGTAACGTCTTAGCGTAACCTTATCATGCGGTATGTAAGACCCTAAAGGAGAAATACTGGTGACAAAAAATATATATTCCCGACTTTAAAATCAGCCTTGCTTCGTTTGTTCAACATTTCTACTCATAGCTGATTAGATCCTTTATTAGGATCCTGTCCTCTTTTTTTGTATGTTGGTCCTTGCTTCCAAAATTGAATATAATAAGTAGCTATAAAACTAATAAAAGGGTCATAAAAAGTATAGGCGGATAGTATTTTTTGAAAATGCTGTTTCCACTGATGGCTTTGGTTTTTAAGAAGACAGGTTAACATTGAAGTATAAAGAAGAAAAATTAAACACTTTTGTGCACAGTTTATAGAGCAAAATGATGATTATTAATATAGCCAACATCGACCAATGGTCACCCAACAAGGGCTATTCAACCTATTATACCTTATACTTAAGTTTCACCGGTGGTTAAACTTCCGACTTGAGAAAGATATTTTCGGAAAACAAATCACCTTATCAAAGGAAAGGGCTAAATATAAAATACACACGGACCAATTTAAGTTTCTGGGAAAATGCCCACCTACCCCTCCCCTAAGCCAACATTATCTCATACTTCTCACTTAGGGTAAAATGTTGGCTAAGGGGAGGGGTAAGTGGGCAGTTTCCCGGAAACCTAACTTGATACCAAATACACAAACAAACGACAAACCTTGTTATTTTCCTCCTCGACTTCTGAACCACTATTTGCTTTGTCTAAAGCCACTTCCCTCAGTTCAAAAAGCGTCTTATTTTCCTTGTCAATCTTTTTAACCATTAAAGGTGTAAATAATGTTAAACACATCTGTAAAGTTGCTACCCCCTCTTACAGTCTAGATGGGATGTCCTTCCAGCATGGCGTTGTACCAAAGAGAGGATAAAAGTCATAAAGGTTTAGACTGCGAATTCCCCATAAAGGCTTTACTCCCTAGCTAACTACAACAACAGCAGTAGAAAGAAAAACAGAGAAAAATACAAATTCAAATGACTTTTCAGTTTAAATACAGTTATCTTAAAATCTTCTAACAGTATCCATGTTCTAAAGTTTATGTTTTTAGTTTTTCGGTTCTTAACATTTCTCCGGGAACAAATCTATTGGTGGTTTTTGAAATACTTTTTCGCATCAATCTCAAAACGGTAAAACAAATAGGTGTATCCACTCAAAAGAAATACCGATTTTGGGTCCTACCTTTGTTACAGTTTGCCTCGCTTGGATAGTATCCGACATTCATGAATTTGGGGAGGCTGAGAAGCTGAGACTACACTGTTTGTTTTATGCTTTCCACAGGTACTGAAGACATGTTTAGAAGTGGACTGTAATGATACACTGATTTTTGGTTGATATCTTTAAAAAACAAGAAGGTGATGCATATAGCAAGCTTGCTGAAATTAAAAGGAACTACGATTTGACCATGCAGGTACGTAAACATCAAAAGGATACTGCTAATCCCGCATCACATCATACGAGTGCTTGCTTGAACTGTTGCAACTTCACAGAAGCATTCGCTCCTGAAATCGTGTAAATACAATAGCATAATTAAATTTAAATCAGCCAAACTGGGTTAAGAAAAGAAATACACAGTTTACTCAAGACGAACTTTCACCGCGTACAGACACTTACTGGCGACGACCCAAGGTAAGACTGAAACCAAGAAAAAGCACTGCCTTTAATACTAAAGCAAAACGCAAGACGATGTAACAAAATTTCAAGGTCGACTTGGTCAAAGGCATCAGAACGATCGAGGAGTAATAATGCAACGGATTTGTTGTTATCAATCGCTCTCAAAATA